TCCTTGCCCATCAGAGCTGAGATATTTTAKCAGCACTTTTTGAGAACACCTGAGCCAGCAGATACTCTAGGCTATACAGAAACAACTGGAGAATGGAGCCTTCAAATGATGGAAACCCCAGAAATCCTTGGTTGGTGTCAATACTCACTCTATTTCTCCTAAATTAAATAATGAAACAAGGTCAGCTGGACCCTCCTATAGCTAAACATACACCCAGGGCCTCAAAGTGGGGTGAGAATGGCTTGGAGTGAATTTCCAAGATGCCAGAACTGRGTAGATGTCAATAGCTCAGCTGGCTGAGTACACCTGTACAAACTGTGGGCTGCCTTCCAAGCACACACTTATAAGCCACTAGAAATTCTGCATAGCCTCTTGTCATCCATGAGGACAGCRTCACAACAGAAGCACAAGAAAGGGCTCTCAGCAGCCTTTACAATAACCCTGCATTAGGTCTGTGACATCTTTTCTGCTCCCCCAGCACTACAAGCAGGCAGTGCAATCTGAGTCACAGGGAAAGGCTGGAACACAATGAGACAAACCAGCTTGTGACTGCATGATTTTGGAAAGCATGCTTTATTGCAGTGAGACTGATGAACAACATGGGGTTCTGCCTTTASAGAGGAAGGGTCATCTTTTTCACAATGGAAGAGGTAGAATGTCCGTCCAAAACCAGGATTAGAGGCCAGCTCTCTGCAGTATTAACAGTTTAATAACAACACTAAGGCAGCAAACAAAAATCCCCTATTAACTTAAGCAGGAGCAAAACTGGATCCTTTTGTAGAGTCAGCATTGCAAACATACGGCTTATGCAATACAGCCTCACTCCTCTCCTTTTTGAAGAGTTAAATAAGGTGTAATTTAGCCATCATATTACACTATTTAAAATAAGCAAGTCCTCAGCTTTGTAGTTATAGACTGCACTGCTCAGCTGAAGTTTGCTTATTTTATAAAGTGTATGTTAGAAGAGCATATTTCCATTTAATTCATGCTAACATCCTTAAAACCAAAGGTCAAAAACAAGRAAACAAAAGCTTAACTGTAGCTAAGTAGGTCTTGGATGGAGCCCAGAGCTGACAAGAACCAAAGCTTCACAAAACAGTAACAGAAACGTCAGCTTTTGCATTCTGTTTAATTAAACATGCTTTTTATGAGAATTAGTTTACATAAAAAGAATTTTTAGAACATAATTTTGAATAAAACCTGAATCAAAGTGTTTGATCAGATTTAAAGTTAATGTATTTTTAAGCTGTAAAAACATTTGTTTGCATATGAATGAATATTTGTACTGCAGATGTTTCACACCTGTTAGTATTTTGCAGAAGGACAGTTGCTTTTACATGTTTTTATCTCAATCACAGCATAGGGAAAACTCAGATCTAGGACTCCATCTCTCATTTCAGGGCAATTATGACTGAAGTCCACATAATGTGGTTTTCTTCTCTTTCTTCATTCAAAGGAAACTCTTTTATTCTTTTTCAATTTCATTATAGGTCTTCAAAGTAAAATAGCTTGTCACAGACTTTTAAATTCTCCTGTACTGAATTAGAATCAGTGACAGATTTACTGCACAAAACAGAACTTGACTTCTGTATAAGCATTAAGGGAAATTGCTGCTTTCTTTCACTGCATCATCAATGAAGTGTTTACACTTAAAATCAACATTATATTACTTTTCATGCTTTGGATGACAAAACAATGACCTCTTGTCCCCTTTCACCTCTCATTTCCCTCACCAGAAGCTCTTTGAAACTTTTAATACAATATTTTTCTAATATTTCACTTGTAAACCCCAAGTTCAGGTTGCAGTCTCTGTACAAGCAACAGCTCTTCCTGCTGCCACACATTCTTTCCTCCCACAGTCTCTCCCTATATTACCAAATGCAATGGATGTTTGACAATTACCTTGAAGGACTACATAATCAAAAATGTAGCTTAAAAGCCTCAAACAAAGAAGGGGAAGAAAATCTCCTTCATCTCTGTGTTAGTTCAGAGGAAGAAAACTACGGTACCTAAACTTAAATTTAGAAATAAGGAAACATGATACCAAGAAGTGTCCTCTTTCTCATAACAAACAATAGAAACACAAACAATGTAGCATGTTGAGTTTAACATGCAAGAAGAATATTGTCCAGGGTGGTGCCAGGAACCACTTTGAACAAGTAATTTTTGCATCTTGGCAGAACCACCCKTCAAGAAAAAAAAGCCATGCCTACMATCAGCAATTTCCCAGAGATGACTTGAGGTGGTAGCTATCCAGATTACCTCTCCATGGACCCAATCCAAAGCTCATTACTGGCAACAGGCTTTTGAAACAGCTCTGTTACATATTTTTCACAATGGAAAAACTCTATATTTAACTGATGGACTGGAAAGAATCTTCAACTCTTTGAAGTCTGAGATTAACAAGAGAAAAGGACAGAATGTTTGCCTTTGGCTAGGAAAGCAATACCTGGGGGTAAAAAACCTCTATGATCTAGAAATGATGCAATTTATACAGTGCTCAGTATGGTGCAAGATCATCAGAGGATACCTTTACAATTAAAGGTCTGGAGATAAAAAAATTACCAGTTGCTCCCTTTTAGCAACACAATTTAGTTAGACTTTATCAACAAATTTTTTTAAAAAGAAGCATAAATGGTGCTCAAAACATGAAGCATTTTAATTAAAACAATTTTATCTGAATTTGTTTTAGCACCATGCTTGCAATTGTATTCAGGCAGCATCAACAGAATAACTTAATATCAAATAAAATCTCAGAATCCTGTAATTTCACTATTTTATTGTTTTAGGACTACCCAATTATCTAAAATAAACTCTGTTTTTCTTCTTTAGGAAAGTGGCCATATTTGAAGGAACTAGCACTTTCAGTAGCATWTCAGACCACAGCACAGTAGTGGAAGAAGCAGCTGATGCATATAAAAGCTCTTTTGCTTTATTTAGTTTTCAGTGGGGTCAAGCCACTGAATTAGTGTGCAGTTTAAACAAACAGTGTCAGTACAAGGGCAGGAAAGTGTGGGCCAGGAAGAATGTATGACAAAGTTGGCACTACTGGAGTATTACACTGATGAAACWGAAGATGGATTTTCACTATTTAATGCACAAGTAAGTAATACTAGAGTTTTTTCAATTGACAAAAAATAATGATTCCAACCCAAAAGCTTGTCTAAATAAAAATAATATATAAACGCAGAAATTCAGGAAGTTATCTCCTTCAGGASATGGTCTTTCCCAGACAGCACAGTCTATAATCAGTAATGTCATGCAGTGGAGAAATTAACTGTGCTCCAACATCCTCAGAAAYCTCTCCGCCCAGAGAACCATGTGTATTGGGAAATGCTACCCCCTATCGTCTGAACGGCTGAAGTCTCCTTCAAACAATCATTTTTGGAGGTTAACTTTGCTTTYCTTGGAAATTACTATACAAATCATGGGCTTTCTTTTTACTCATCAACTTAGTCCTTGGCTACAGCACTGTGACCCTGGCTTTCCCTGTTACTGCTTTTACCAACAGGAAGACAAGCCAGAGCCTGAAAAATAATTATTACTTCAAATAACTGATTTTTTTTAGTTCAGCGCAGAAGTCTGGATTCTTTTTTGCCTATTTTATGTAAGTACTACTTCAAATCCTTACACATTCRTTTACAATTCTCCTGTTGTCTTTTCACTCCCATCCCTTTCCAAATCCTGAAAAATAAACTCTTCTAGGAGTCTTTACTTCAAAGATTTTATATTTGACTTATTTTATTATTTGACTTTATATTATATTATATTATTATTATTTATTTTATATTTGACTTTATTTTATATTTGACTGCCTTTTCTAAAAATTTGAAGCAGCAGGATTTGAAGACATAAGAATTCTATTGCAAAAGAAACTAGAGGGTGATCTTTGAATTTAACTGTATTATGAAAAACTTCTTCAAGAGCACAAAAGGTGAGTCCCTTCCCCACAAACAAGGCAAAAGAAAAAAGAGGGGAAGAATATTCTTTCTCCCAGAGTTCCATCTTAAGAAAAGCTGCAGAACTCACTTTAGGAACATTTAGACCATGCCAGCAGGATATTAGATTTAAAAGGAAAATTATTTTTTCAGCTTTTAAACTGAAATTTAATTTAAATTATTCTGCATTTAAACTGAGAAGTTCTCCTTGGCTAACAGCATTTGGAATGAAAGAAACACAAGGAGGAAGAGAAAGAYTGCCAAGACAAAGTACAAAGCATAATACAGTCTGGGGAGCAAGTGGTAGGGAGCACCWAGTGGAAAACATAAGGTATCATTAATTAAGTTAATTTAGAGTTGGAATTAATGTTGACACYTCTGATTTTCTTTGAAAAGAAACTGAAATTTGAAGTCCCCTAGAACCTTTTTGCCTCCTAATCTCTGTTTCTAGCACTTTTGAGTAGAAAACTAGAATTAAGTGAATCTTAGAACATGAGAACCAACCATTTTGATAAAATACAATACTGATGTGTCAGCTTCTATATGTTTTGAGGAAGTCCACAGTGCAACTTTTATGTATCATCACCGATAAGCAAATAGTGCAACAGCTCTTTTTTAATCACTGCTTAAGGATGAACATATTGCAATCTGTTATTGCTACTATTTATGTTTCCCTCAAGCCAGCAGTGCAACTAAAGCACATCATAAGGCCCTTCTGACCTTAGTTTTGAACACAAGACACTGATGAAGTGACGTAATGACATAATTTGTTTACTGAGACCATAATGTATATGAAATACAGATTGTCAGATATACAATCAACATAMTATTTCATCCTTGCCCTCCAGACGATTTCCAAGGCAGGGAGAGTAAACAGCCTTCTCCCAGCTTTCTTAGTTTCCACAGCTGAGAGTGTAGGATGTTTACAATACCTGTCACTCAGAGCTCCCCAGAACAGACTAAATGTCAGCAGACCTAGTACTGACTTCATCACTGACAGCTGGAAACATGCAGATGTCAAGTAATGGGAGGAAAAAATCCATACCCATGACTATTGTTTACCATATGAATCCAAATCAGTGTTAAGTCCTTTGTGAACAAGTTGGAGGTCTACGAAAGTAGTTCAAAATAAGGCTGAGCTTCATCATCTCCAGGGGACAGCCAGTGTTACTGCCACCATGCTACTGCAAGGCTTACTGCCAGTTCACTCCAAAGTACTCTTGCACGTCCTGAAGTTGTGCCTGCAGAAAACAGAGAATTCATCATTTTAATGAGGCCACATAGCAGAAAAATGGTYTTTGCATTCTACAAGAAAGAGCTGTCATGTAATTTCCAAAGGACAGGAAGCTATTAACACAATTTAAAAGCAAWATTTAGAGTGCTGGCTCACAGAATACCTACACTATCAAGCTTATTCTTCTCTGTTCTGGGATATCTTTAAATACTGYAAGGAAAAGAATACTTTTAAAGATATAGCTTGGTAAATTGAATTGTTTGGTTACATAAYATGTGACTGTTAACAGCAGCCTAAGTACATTTGAGATTGTACTTCTCTCTCAGAAACATTCTAAGTATTCAATGTCCTTGAAGGCATCACCTCTAAGGAGAAAAACAAAACAAACAAACAAACAAAAATTTTAAAAAAAAGGAGAATCCAATCAGAAAGAAAAAAAAATTCTTATGTAGAAAAAAAGTCAAAATCCCCAGAAGAGACACTTAAATAGGCAAAACCTGTACAAAAGAAATACTTTGGGATAAGATTATTAAAGCTTTCTGCTTTAAAAAAACAATGCATGTGCAAAAAACCTGTCCAAGTGACCAGGAAACTGAACTGTATTGCAGAATCACAGTAATGTACTTAAAAAAAGTTAATCTGATACTGAAAAGGTAGAGAAGCTTTAGCTGAGAGCATAACTCATAGCGAGGCCAATACTAGTACTGTACTCATCATCATATGAACACCATTTATAAAACAGGATATTGGCCAGCTTTCTGAAGAAACAGCTTTTCTGTGGCATGAATTATGTTTGATTTGGAACTGTACAGTTATCTCCCCTACCATTACCTACATATCATTCCAGTACTTCTAAAAATCAGGACAGGTATCTAAAAGCCCAGAGACTGGAGGGAATCCCTTTGGTCAACAAACAAAAGCAGCAGGAGAGGAAAGAAGGGGACAATGTAATTGCAATCTGCACTTGACCATTCATAAGGAGGCCTAGAGATTTGCAGCAGCCTCAAAAGTTGAAACAGACCTGAAGGCAGATCACCTTTACCTTCTAGTCTGCTATAAAAGAATAGGGACTGGCATAAATTTCAAGAAKAAAAAATTTTCTTTCCCGATCTGTCTGTCCTCAATAAATCATCTCTCTGGCCAGCAGTTAAAGAACCTATGCTAGTTCTGCACTAAGAAGATGCATTTCTCCTAAAATACTCCACCAATTTTACATGTCAGTGGGGCTGGATCTCTCTCTAGGGCACACAATAGAAGAGGAAAATCCCTGTCTTTAACCAAGCAGCCACACCAATCAGATTGCCAGGTAGCCCTGCAAGAAACAGCCTGGAATTGGCTCAGCAATGAATCCAGCAGTAGAAACGGAAGCATAAAGTGCAGAAATAAAATCATGCAGCTGCTCTCTCAGAGCAAGGAAAAGGAGTAAATCTCAGAATAATCCAGGAGTGAACACATCTCAGCAGATAATCTAGTCCCAGGTCCTCCCGGAGGTAGAGCCAGTTTCGAAATTCCACATGAACTGCTGCTAGAGACCTTACATTTCTCATTCAAGGTTTTGCAGACTAAGTGTGATTTGCAGGGGGCACCTCAGCCCTTTACAAGAGAAGGCAGAAAAATATTATTGTGGTAGTCTCTGATGGAATTTACCACAGTACCACTCAATTTTTAGCTGACAGGCGTCTGATATTTCTATAGCTAACAGATCCTATTTTGATTCTGTAAGAGTCGTGATGATTTTTTCTAATATTTAAAACATCTATCATGGTATCTTGGTGTGCATCTTTTATTACCACTGGTTAGAATTACTATATACAATCACTTTTTCAATGCAATTAAAAGCTCAGGGCTTAAAATCACACAGTTGACTTAGAAAATATTAACTTAATTCAGACTTTACATTAGAACAGTTCTTCCAAGTTTAATACATGGAAACAAAAAGATTACCCCCTTTCAATAACCCAGTATGTCTCCAAGACAAAACTCCCCACACAACTAGGTAAATTTAGAAAGCGTTGATACTGTATTTGCTAAAAAGTAAGTAGAAGGAAAAAAATCCCAAACTTTGGGGTTTTTCTACAGCAGGAAAAGAATCTGCTTTCAAAATAAACCTATGAAATACTGAAGCTATGGGYCTCATATCTAACAAAATTTATGAGAGCACAGTAACAGGCAGCTTACTGTCAGCACAGAGAGGAAGAAAACTTGTCAAGGCAAATGATGCAGTGACAAAGAAATATTCAAACATATGAAGCAGAAAGAATCTGGAATTTCACAAGAATAATCAGAATAAAAACTAAGCAATATATTATGGTCTCAGAGAATCCCAAACACTTTTGAGACATATTCTTCGCCTTCAGCATTTAAATGAATGACAAGTGACTTAGGACTTTAAAAGTCAGTTTTGCATATCTATTTCAGACGTACTTCTGAAAGGCACACCAAATAACTTCAAGCAATTTAAGGAAATCTTCTGGCAAGAACTTCATATATACTCAATACAGTAATTCCTATTCTAAAGTGCCTACAGTCAAAACAAATGGCAGAAGATCATGACATTAAATGATGATTTTAAGCACAGGTCCACTCTATTTCTACTGCTTCTCTACTGACTGCCTTTGACTTCCAAATTGTTTCAGGTGGCTGCTTTTTACCAATACTTGTGTAGTCAAAGATGTGTCTAAGGCAACGCACTTGAGGAGGGATAAGAAATTACAAATATCATATATCCCTTTGCCAAAATAGATATTTACCACTTGCTAGGAACCGATCCTCACCTGTGTCTAGGTACCCAGATAYTGCAACCTGCCTCAGCTTTCATTGAAAAGCATGTCCTTCTGTAGGTGTCTAAGAAGTAAAGCTGGTGATTTGCCAGCAAGCCCTGCACAAAGCTAGGATAAAACCTTGCCCCTGAAGAATCTAAGGGAAGGCATTACCTGCACAGATAGCCACAGAAGTGATCATGGTCTCAGCAAAGSTATCACAAAAGTAAGGATTAACTACTAAAAAAAAAAAAAACCCTTTCTCCCCCAGATCTCCAAGAGGCAAGGTGTTTGTTAATGACACAGTTATTTATCTGATCTTAAAACCTGCTYTCCCTCCCTTGGCTTCACTATCCTATACTTGAGGGATATGACTAAAATGTAGTACAGAGGGTTATGAAAGAAGTAGCTGCTAAAAGAATGCAGTTCAACAACAAACTAACAACCCAAAACTAAAGCACTGCCCTGCCATCACCTGGAAAGAGACCGTCAGTTGTCCAGTAAATGCCACACTATACAGAGACTGTAATCATTAACTTGCTTTCATTTTGCAACAAAGCACAAAAGGGAAGGACTGAAAAGAAAATGTATTCTCTTCCTTTGAAGCAAGTTAGATATTTAATTTCTGGTAATGACAATAAGTTGGGCAMCAACACACACAAATTACCTACTGGTCACTTTAGAGAATAGAATACTTGTTATAGCCAGAACCACTCAATTATATCACCCAACAGCAGAGAACCAGAAAATAAAGAAAAATTATCCTGTTTGAAAAAAGGGAGAAAACTATATATAGTATAAGGTCTACCTTCCTTAGAGCCTTGTAAAATGAGTTGACACTGCGCGACCTTCTGTGTACTCTGAAAAAGTAAATTCTTTCTTGCTCTGCATCAGCCACACCATTAAAATGGGGGCAAATATCACTGAACATTATGAATATTATACCATTAGCAAAACTACTGATGCACTATTTATGTAGGAAGCCCTCTTACACTGCCTTTTACAAAACTTCAAAACTGTCTCCAAAACCTTTTTCCTCCAAATCTATAATGCACACAGGGAAGGCTAATCTGCCTACATAGAGGCTTACCTGATCCACCCACAGTGACTCACTTGAGGGGCAAAATACTTGTGCTGAATCCCCCTGGTGAGCACAGGCAGCTTCCCAKGCCCAGGGAAGACTGAAAGCTATTTAAAACACTTCCTTCTTTGCCTGATGGAATCCTGGAGACTGTGTGGTCTTTACATTTGGAAATATTCCCAACTTAACTCCTTCACTGACCAGCCACCCCTCAAGAAGCAACTAGTGTATAGTATAATAGCCATGTCAGCTTGAAGTAAGAATTGAGATTTGGACTTGGGAAGGAGCAGGCACAGTGTCAGGGATCCTTAGAGCTTAGCTAGAGTCTGCTGGATCCCCCTTCCTCTGTCTCCATCTCTAAGTGGTAACCATGAAAACCACAAGCCTCTCACTATTGCTGAAGAACAGTTACTCTCAAAATTGCCAGGTTTTCTTTCTTACTTGCCCACTCCTGGAAGGCCACATAGCTTCATCTGTGAACATCTGTGAGCCTGACAACAATTATTTACTATCAACTTTCTCAAAAAAAACCTGGCATGTTTTTAAGATTACTTCAAGCCTGTGTCAATGAATTCTTTCCTGTCTTAAGCAGGAAAAATTCTGTGTTCCACTATAGAAACATATATTTATATATCTGGGTATGCAAAGATGAACCTCTGRGGTCTCTGTCTGATGGGGAAGACCYAAAAATGGAGGTGGATCTCAGGGCTCTCCTATCCATTAATTGTTTCAGGAGTCTTGCAAGTATTTGAAGGGAAAGGAAATAATGTTTCCTTTTCTATGTAACTGCTATAAAACACACAGAATAAGAAACAATCTGAAAACGAAGTCAATACATTTTTAAACTATGTAAAAGAAAGATTAGTTTCAACACTTTTAAYTTTTTGCCTTTGAGAAAAGAATGGCCACCACACACACACACGCCACAAAATAAGGTGGAACAGCCCAAAATACATAAGCGAGCACATTCTGGACAGGTAATAATTTGGCCCACCTTTAAATGAAAAACACTTCAAATACTAAATATATAAACTGCCACCAGATGTCAGTACAGCCTAGAGAATTGCTAGTACGACCCCCTACTCCAGGCTGATAAGAGAATTTATTTAACATTCCCCCCAACTGTCCAGGTACACAAATCCACAACTCCTAAATGGAAAAAAAYAA